TTAGGAGATCTTGTCTTTTTCTACTTCCCATGTAGGTTAGATCTCTCTCTTTTTAATCGTAAAAGAGTACAGAAAACAAATTGTGATGATCTAAGTATAAATCAAATATAGTTAACAACAAACATTAATATACTACAATATTTCCTTATATTTGCTAAGAATAATTAATAAAATGGAGCTGTTTGCATTGTTAGGGTCACATTTTATGACATTTCCCCCCAGACACAAATGTTATTGGTTAACTGATGTACATCTTTCACTAGCCCATTTTAATTTTTTCTAGAATTATGTATATCCAAAATAATATATAGTATTATTTCAGATATTTAAAATTATATAAATGACAGCACTCGGGAGGCAGAGGCAGGCGGATCTCTGTGAGTTCGAGACCAGCCTGGTCTACAGAGCTAGTGCCAGGACAGGCTCCAAAGCCACAGAGAAACCCTGTCTCGAAAAACCAAAAAAAAAAAAAAAAATTTATATAAATGACATTTTGTTGCATCTTACTGCAAATTGAATACTTTATTCAATATTAGGTACTGGAGAATTGTCTAGACTGCTATACAGAGAGAGATCTAGTACACTTATTTATTTTACTGTTTTATAAATTCTATTATATAAATACATGACGTATTATTCAAAAACCTCCAAAAGACATCAACATTTCACTGAAGCATAGCCCGTTAAGATCAGAAAGAAGACAGATATGGACTGTATCATCAGTGCCGTTGTTCTGGTGGTCCTGGACAGTGCCAGAGATAAGGAAAGGGAATGAGCTATGGAGGAACTATTGGCTAGCAAGAGATAATAAAACTGCCATAATTTGTAAACTATATTTATCTACATAAGAAGTCAGAGAGAATAGAGAGGCAAAATAGCAAAAATGATGAGTTTACCAAAAGAACCTGACTACAGAATAATGTTGTATAACTACCTTATATATTAACCAAGAATAATTGCTGTTTAGTAAATTTACTTTTGAATGGGGAAAGAATACATAAGTATTCCTTTCAACTTAAAAGGAAAGGCTCATGGCAAAATTTGTCTTTGCTGTTTCAATATACCTGACAGCATAAAAACTTGTATGTCCTATTTTGGGATGTGTTTATAGATATTTGACACTACATTAGAAAATGAATAATTGCATAGGCTAGATTATAATATAGCATATGTGATGTTTATGATGGCAGCGCAGCACGGTATTTTGAAACTTAGAATGTCTTGAAGATACATGACTTTGGTAGATGAAAGAGATCACACAATGTTGAAGTCAGCAGAATGAGGCTTCCTAAGCTTCCCACAGGCTGCAATGTACCTGAGAGAGTAGCTAGGCAGAGGCCTGTTCACACGCACTTAAAGGAACCCTTCTCATCAAAACACATACCACCTGCATTGGGCCACACAGGAAGCTGAGACTCCTCAAGCCAATCAGAGTAGTCTAGGAGAAAGGAGTGTGTCTCAGAGGGATGCAATGTCAGGAAGCCACAGACAAAATGCTGGGTTTGGTAGATAAAGATGCTATTAGGCTATGAATGGACTATTCAACCAGTGATGACGGGACCCTCAACTGTTCATGCAGAAGAATAAGACGTATCGCATTACTACATCCCATTTTGCTGAACAGTACACTTCTCTTTTGCTTTTGTTTGTTTGTTTTGTCTTGCTTTTTTAAAAAGTCTCTCTACATAGCCCTGACTGTCCTGGAACTCACAGAGATTTGCCTGCCTCTGTCTATCTCCTGGGATTAAAGGCGTATGTCACGACCACCCGACCTAGCAACCCATTGCTTAGCAGATCCGTAATTCAAAGCTTGAAATAATAAGGCACAAGATAGCTGATAAAAAATATTAAGGGGGCACATTCCACAATCAAAGAGTGGCAAAAGGAATCTACCACAAATATTAAGAGGACAAATTCCATAATCAAAGTGTTTCAAAAGGGACCCAAAACCACCCCCACCCCCAAAAGTCCTGAAAACAGAGTCAGTTGAAAATAAAGCTCCAGGTCTGGAGCAAAGGTATCTGGAGAATGGAAGCTTGTAAAGGACAAATGCCACATCTGTCACAGTTGGGGAAGAGTCATGTTCTGCAGGACTGTGTGGGACTCTGACTCGGTGTCCTTCTGAACCTCCAACCTGTCAGCCCAATTTGCTATGTTGCTAAAATAAGGAACATTGGGGTTCTCAATAAGCTCCGGAGAGGCTGGAGGAGGTCCTGAGAGGCTGCAGGGTGAAGCGTGTTAATATTCAGCAAAGAAACACATCAGCACACCGAAAGCAGCAGCAGCACCCACAGCTGGCTGCGGCAGAAGCTGCCAGTGGTCTTAATCAGAGTGCATTCACGGACAGAGATGGACTTGGTGACGAGAGTCCTTGTCCGAAAGAAGCATTTCCACGTGTGTGCTGTGGACTCAAAACTGCTTGGACACGGACACAAAGCGGTTAAGGCAAGGTGAATGGTTCCAGAGTGGAATAACCAAGAGGGAAGCAGCAATCCTGCCTGCGTTTCCAGGAAAAGGAGTGCAGGGGCCTCAAGGCACCAAATCCCCAGGAGCAACAGGTGGCAGGGGAGGGCTCCAGGAGGATGGAGAAGCAGTGCCCTGGGGCACCACACAGGAAGGTACTCAGGAGCAGCAGCAGCAAGCCCAGGACTCTTTCAGGAACTGAAGGCAGTCTGCTGCAGGCTCACACGACAGAGGAGGCAGCTCAGGCCAAGCAGGGTACAGATCTGTAGACGGGGGCGGCAAGGCAGCGTGGGTGACCTAGTTCAGTGTTTGTGGGGGAAAAGCCCAGTGACAGACAGGCACATTTTGTGATCCAGAGCTATTTTGGTCTTGCGTTGTCTGTACCCATAAGGATGGGGTCTCGGAGATATTATTTCACAACTCCATTCGTATTCTTCCTGAATCAGAAGCCCCCCCCCCGATCCCCGCCTTGAAACTGGCCTCCTACTTTGGCTCCACACGAGGACCACTCAAGGGATGAGGGGGCAGACAAGAAAGCTCTGCATGAACTCCCAAGCAACGTTTTCAGGAAGGCACTACCAGCAAATGAACAGCAGGGGGCGACATGGGCCAGGACCATGTATGTGATGGAGCAGCTTTGGTCCCAGGTGGCTTTCCTGGGCACAAGGCACAGCTGCTCAAGAGGTGTGCTAGAAGCCTCTGAGGTCCTCCCTGGGTTAGGAGACGGCTGCATGTTCAAGCCTCAAGTGCCTGGGACATGCTTGGCCACGGCACGCGATCGGGAACTGAGGGTTCTGTGATGTGCACAGATGTAGGGAGGCACACGCTAATTTGGGCCAGAAGCTTCAGCAAGGACAGGAGCCTGTGCCCTGCCTCTGTGCTGAGGTTAAGGAGGCCTGGCAGGGAGCTGTCACTGAAGACAGCACTGGCAGACTGGACCAGGACAAGGGGATGCAGGTGTGTGCACAAAATCCTCCTTCGATGTACATCACCCAGCCAAAACGTGGAACTCTAGACTCAAAGGGGATGCCGATGGCTGTGGTGGGGATGCCTGCTGGGGGAAGAATCCTCCAGCAGCTGTTGAGAAGCAAGACAGTGTCCCTCAGCCAGCCGAGGCAGTCCAAGGCACGGGCTGTGATGGCTGTGTGGTGTAGCACTAATCACAGGCCACTGGCCTCATCCAGTTTCCCAGGACCTTGGAGATGGTCAGTATCCACTCCTGGTTGGACAACTTCCCAGAGTTGGTCCAGGGGCCTGGCAGGCACCCCAGCTTACTGGCCAGCATGGAATGCTGCTGGGAAGAGGATACAAACAGGAGACTTGGAGCTCAAATGGCGTGTGGAGGCAGAAGAAGAAATGAAAGCTGTGGAGAGACACACAGAGGAGAGCAGGCTGAAGGCAGGGCACTCTGCACACAGACCACTGGTGCACAGGGCACAATGACCCAGAACAGCACCCCAGAGTCAACAACCAATACATGACACCTGTCCTGCAGCAGCAGCAGCAGCAGCA